TTTTTCTAATTAGGATATAGAGGCCATTTGGCCGAATTTTAAAATATTTGCTTTAAAAGTATTATTTTTTCTCATAAATTTAAAATTTTGTTAAAAATTTTAAAAATTATCTTTAAAATAAAATTTAAATAAATTTTAAAAGAATTTAAATGTGTACTTTTTTTTTCTAAGGCTTATTAACGGCCTCATATGCTACTAGTGCCTAGTGTGGCTAGTGGGGCAGTGGGCCGGGCCACTAACTCCTCTCTCTCATGCATCTTGGATCCCTAACATGCAAGACACAATATAAAATAAAAATCGTTTGATTATTCGATTACCTAACATTTTGTTATCCATACCCCACCGCATGAGATCGAATCCATGATTGCCAACTTGTGGTTGAAATACTTCGGGTGGGGTGACAGAATAAAGGTAGTATGTCATCTCCTTGTGCCCCATGGAACATGCGCTGGTTACTGGGATTCTGCCACTATCATTTCGAATTGTAAGTAATTTGTCGTTCTTTTGGACTATGCATTTTGCCAGGTGTGTTCTTCCCGTTATTGCAACAGCGTTGAGAGCGGTGCGACTGCCAGCGTTACTTGCACTCTTTACTTCCAGATCTGTTTCTGACATCATCTTTACCAATTCCTCAGCAATCTTATCTTGCCCGGCATCTATTGCAACATAAAGAGCAGTGTAGCCTCTGTCTGACACTATTCTTGTATCTAGTGGATGTTTATCAAAAACGAAAAACTGCTTTACAGCATTCCAATCTCCGTTGCAAATGCTCTTTTTCAGTTCTACACAACGAGAATCTTCAGTCATCCCATCTTCTTCCTCTGTGAATAATTAAGATATTAATAAAAATTATAAACATTTCAGTAAGTTAGTTTAAAGAGATTCTGCTCAAATTAATATTATTCTACCCAATCCTTTAAAATGAGTTATTTTAGATATTTCAATTTCTTTCCCTACCAATAATTAAGATATTAATAAAAATTATAAGCATTTCAGTAAATTAGTTTTAAAAGAAACTCTGCTCAAATTAATATTACCTCTATTTGATCCCTCAAAATGAGTCATTTCAATTATTTCAACTTTTTTTCCTGTTAATAATCAAGATATTATAATCAAATTATAGTTCAATTAAGATGTAGTTAATTTAGTTGAGAATCTTTTCAAATCAATCTTACCTTCATCCGACCTCTGTTGATGCATTTGGGCTAATTTGTTCCAAGCATCTTTGGCCGACTCAAACTTTTTTATTTGAGCAAAAATATCTGGTGAAGATGTAGTATGAATTGCATGTAGAGCTGCTGCATTCTTTTTCCTCAAATTTCCCACATCAGTTGAAGAAGAAAGCAAACCAACATCATTCCCAGATTCAATAATGCCCCAAAGATCTTGAGCCAATAGATAGTTTTTCATGTAAATTCTCCAATCTTCATAGTTATCTTTCGTAAGAAGAAAAGGAACAATCGCAGTAGTGCTTGAGTCACCGCGTATTGCCATTTTAAATCTGTCAAACTATAAAAAGTATTTATAATATTAATTATAATAGAAAAGCTTATGTAATTATAATTATATATTCTACACCTCGCAGTAGCTATATATAAACAGAGACTTGATCAAGCAAGCAATCTTCTCTAGAATGGTACACACTTCAATAAGGTAGAGAGCATGAACACCAAAGGTAAATCATCGGGCTGGCATAAAGCCATAGCAAATAATCAAAGAATATAACTTTCTAATAATAATACTTACTATATGGAAGAGATATTTAGACTGGGATTCTTGCTGTGTAGATAGAAATTGAAGGTGTTCTTTAGTTCTAAAATATGAAACGGAAAAGAGAAACAAGTAATATAATTATAAATGGAGAAGTAAAAAAGAAAAAATTATCAAAAGAAACCAAACCAAAGGAGTGCAAAAATTTTTTTTTTTTTTTTCTGAACTGAAGTTAAAGGAATACAAATTTGGGACACAGGATTACAAACAAATTCAATGATGAAGCCCTCTGAGAGTGAGAGACAGTATATAGAGCAAAGCAAACTACAAAGGTTTAGGTTGCAATTCTCATGCATGGGTGCCTGGGTCTTGATGAAAGATTTAAACCACAAAAAAGTAAAGAAAGAATAGAATAAAATCACGGAATATTTTTCTTTCTTTTGATTGTAAACACTCAAAAGAATTAATTCATTACAAAGTAATTAAGAGAGAATAAATTCAGTAAAACGCAAAGAATTTTCATAAAATAAGTCAAGCAAATTGATAATATTATACAATAATTAACTAAAACTAATTGCATTACATTTACCCATAGACGAGCATGCATGATCAATAATCCGCTAATGAGGAGACTAACTAGGTCCGAGCTCAAAGTCATAATGAAATATAAGCATGATGTGCTTAAAAAGGCCGAACTACATAGGCCAAGGTTAGCCACAGGCCCAACCATAGGCCTAAAAGTTTGTAAAATAGTTGTGTGCTATTATATTGGCCTTATCATTCTAATAAAAAATAAAATTAAAAACAAGAATTTTAGTAATAGGCTTTGTTTTAGATTGGGTAAATTTAAGAATTACAATTGAAATTAAATTGGAAGCTTACGGCACCGATTCTCCACAAACTAAAATAAACAAAGATTAGGGTTTGTCGGGCTATAGAAGGACATCCCCCACCAAATTTACAATTCAAAAACGCAGGAAGTGGCCTTCTCTCTTCTCCCTTCTTAATATTAATTCAGTCAAACTTTATATTGGCCCATGTCACTTTTTTAAGTTCATCATTAAACTCTCTTTGTCTCTTTCTAATTTTTTATATAGTTACTTGTATTTTATTTTGTTATTAAATAATGGATCTTTTAGTTTTAAATTTTAGATAAATATTATGCTTACTATTTTTTTTTAATCTAAGTTTAGTTAATCGTAAGTGGAAGAATAGTTTTTTTGAAAAAAATATAATTAACAAATAAATTAATTATAAATCCATTACAAGAAAAAAAATGGTATTACCTTTGCGAGTTTATCCATTTTCAAAATATGTACACATGGAGAGAAGTTCTTTAGTGGGTATTTGGATTAAGTTTCAAATATAGTAAATAATTGATAATTAATATTTGACGACTAATAATTATTGTTGTTTAAAATTAAAACTATTTAATCCATTTGATTAGAATTAAAAATTGATAGCAATTAACCAAAATCCAATCCAAACATCCCCTAAGTTTTATTCCATTTGAAGGTTAATCAATGATTTTAATTA